GTGAACAAGGGGTACAGGTGTTGTGTGCAGGTGCCGTCGTGAGGCACAGCCCCTCACCATTCGCTTGCCCTGGCTGGGAGGAGCCAGCTGCGTTTGCGTGGTCCTCTGCGTGCTGCTTCCTTTTCTGGCTTGGAGACCAACCTACTTCCCAGGACGATTGATCTCCTAGGTCCTCTCCAGCTCAGACTGTCTAAAGCGGGGCCGGCCCCCTGTGCTGTCACCTCCCTCTCTTGGTGCTTGGCCCCAGCCCTGGCGGCTGGACCCTGTTCTCCCTGACCACCAGGGGGCAGCAGCGCGCGCCCTCAGTGCTCTCCCAGATTGCTGGTGCCTGGCCTCTGGACCAGTTTCTATTAACCTGCGACTATACCCCTGCTGCCCCCAGCCAAGGCTGGACACGGTGCTCCCCTCGCCTCTGACCTTGGATGCCTGGACAGAAGAGGCAAAGCAGCAGCAGCTCCAGGGAGCTTATAACCACCTCTCTGTGCCATTCTGGGCTTCTACCGTGCACCCAGCATGGGTGACGCGACCGCCAGGAGATCCCAGCCGGGCCCTTCTCCCCAGGACAGGGCAGAACTGGGCTGAGCAGGAGTCACCAATCCACAGGCTCTGGCTTGATGTTCATTTATTGATGGATTCACGAGACACAATAAAACCACAACGGCTGTTATCCAAGTTTCCCTCCTCCTTTTCTCACTGGAAATATCTCCCCCCAAAACCCCAATACATGTGGGTCCTGGCCAAGACCCGTGGTGTGGGGGCCCCTGGGGTGGGGACAAAGACTGGCCCAGCTGCACAGTGGGGTGCTGGGTGCTGGGGACCAGGGAGAGATGGGAGCACAGAGTGGCAGGACTGTGTCAGCTTAGCCTGGGGAGACATAGTGCCACCCTAAAAGCCAGGGTATGGGGGGCTCAGTGGAGGGACCACTTTTGGTAAAACGGCCACACCAGAATTGGGTCCCCAGTGCTGACAGCCCAGTGGGCAAATGGAGCCCCCCTTAGCACTGCCCAATCAAGGACTGTGGGTCCTCTTTCCTGCTCCGTGTTCCCCACGGCCACCGTGTCCTGATAGCCTGGAGCCCACTCCAACTGGAGACCCCACCCCTAACCTCCAGGAGCCCAGCAAGGCCCAGGCCGGGGTGGGGGGGCACAGACCTGGCCCCAGGCCGGGAGCAGAGTCCCCAAGTGAGGTCTTTGGTTGGGAGAAAGACAGCACCATGGGTTGGGCTGGGGTTTTGCACAGATCTTGGGGAGTGGTGGGCTGGGAACGCAGGGGCGTGGGGGTGGGGGAGCCCCGGAAGGGCAGGCAAGGAGGAGACAGCTGAGTCCCCGGTCCTCAGAGCAACTGAAGATGCCCCAGAACCAGCCCGGCTGCTCCGGGTCGGGAGTCCGCCAGCCTTGGGGAAGCCTAATAGGGCGCGAAGACCATGGGTCCCAGGGCAGGGCGAATGCCTCCCGCAGCGCGGAACAGAGTTGGGCTCAGGAGCGGCGCGGGGAAGAGGGCCAGGGGCCCCGGCAGGGCGCAGATGGGGGCAGAGGTGGCGGGCAGCGGGCTGGGCAGGAGTCGGGCGGCCAGCGTCCTGGTGAGCTGCTTCTGCAGGGCTAGTTTAGACTACAGAGAGGCAGCAGGGTCAGCAGGGCCCAGAGCCCAGGGTGCCCACCCTCCTGGGGCTGGGGGCGTCTTCCTGTGGAATGTGCTTGCACCCACTGCAGACCCCAACCCTCCTCCCTGCCCTCCGGCACTGTCCTCCCAGGGCCACCTGTCTTCCTGCCCCAGGGAGGACGACCTTGGATGGGGACCGGCAGGGACAGGGACAAGGCAGGCAGATCCCACGCCCAGGCCCTTCCCGGCTGGCCCGCTCTGCACCCTCCCTGTCCTGGGCAGGCAGCAGGTACCTTGAGGACACTCACAGCCAGCGCTGCCTGCTTCTGCAGCTTGCTATGCAAGCTGGGGGGCTTGGGGGGCTTGGGGGGCTTCCCAGCCAGGCGATCTTTGTGCCTCCGGCTGCTCATGTGCTGATGGATGGATGAACAGACTGAGAACTCCCGCCCTCCCCCGCCCCAGCCCCAGGCCCCTGCTCCAGGCCACCCCCTCCATGGGCCCCACCTGCTTGAGCTGCGTCTCCGAGTTGACCTGCAGCTGACACAGTGCACACTGGAAAGGTGGCCTGGGCCCCTGCCGGCCGCCCCGGACCTCGGCTACTCTGCCGTCCTTGTGTCCGGCTCCTCCCTGGGACACTGCGTGGCCCCGGCCCCTGCGAGGAGCCCCCTGCTGACCCTCCACCATCCACCGGTGCCTGGCCCCTGAAAGGGGGAAGACCACAGTCGTCAGTAGCGGAGGGGCCAGGGCCACAGAGGCCCCAGCTGGGTCACTTGGCTCCTTCATTTAACCCTCACGGCCGCCCGGCACAGTCCCTGCCTTCCTGTCTGATGGAGAAAGGGCCTCCCAAGTCTCACTAGGCAGTCCAGACTGGACTCGAACTCATGGCCTGCCTCAGCCCCCAGTGCAGGGACAGGCGTGCACCAGCACCCCGGCAGTGATGGCCTTCCACTCCTGCTGCCTTGTCCCCCCAGGTCCAGGGCACTGACCTGTGTTGTGGGCCTGCAGCTGAGAGGTCGAGTTCACGGCTACCTTGCAAGTGGGGCAGTAGAGGCGCCCCTTCTCTCGCCTGCCTTCCCCACTCCTGCCGCCCCCCGCAGCTGCCGCCGCCCCAGGCTCAGGCCCTGGTGCCTCCCTGGCCAGCTCTGGGGAGCAGGGCGGGCAGCAGGAGGTAGTGTCCAGCAGGTCCTTGTGGCCCGGCTTCCGAGGTGGGGGCTCCAGGTTCAGCGGTGGCTGGTGTGAAGGGCCGAGGGGAGGGGCTGCAGGGGTTTCTGGGGAGACAGAGGAAGCTGATGAGGCAGAGCCCTGGCACCTTGAGCCCATGACAGGATAAAGTTAGAGAGATCAGTCTTAGAAGACCCTCATAGCTCCAATATAGGGTATGTTCATGGATGGAGTACTATGCAGCAGTGAAAAAAACTGATGGCCACATGCAACAACTTAGATACACAATCAACTAATCAACGCTGACTAGTGCTCATGAGAGGTGAGCAATCACCTGACACAGAATCCTATGTACCCTGACTCACCAAAGCCCAGTGACAGTGATTTACTCTGAGCAAACCCAGTAATTTACCTGGGGGGGCGGAAGATATAGCTGGTTAAATATTGTCTCCCCCCAAATTCACATCTCTATGGAGCTCAGAAATGGAGTCATTACAGTATAATTAGCTCCGAGGAGCTAGATGCGGCGGTGCGCGCCTGTCATCCCAGCACTCTGGGAGGCTGAGGCAGGAGGGCAGCAAGTTTGAGCCCAGCTGGTGCAGCTGACAGACTTAGTGAGGCCCCGTCTCAAAATTTAAGAATTAGTTAAGATGCGGTCACGGGGTGAGACTCAGCCAGCGCTCTGTCCTTACGAGATGCCTCAGGACACAGGGACACAAAGATGGCAGCCAAACCAGGCTGAGGCTGCTCCTGGACACCAGAGAGGTGGGGACAGCATCCTGCAGGGGAGGAGCTTGCATGGCCATGCTCACAGGGCTCCCGGACACAAGAGGATCGCAGCCCAGCAGCAGAGGGCGGGACTGACCTTTGCCCCTCGGCTCTCCGGGGTCCCCTCGGGCACTGGCAGGGCCCGGGGTTGGGGACACGGCTGCCCCGTCCCGGGCCAGCGTCTGTGGCCTCTGCTTGCTCTTGGCAGCTTCGACGGCCTTGAGTTTCCGGGCGTGTTTGTGGCCTTTGTAGTGGGCCTCAGCCTGGTTCTGTGGGCAGGAGGGTGGGGGTCACTGTCCCAGCCAGGGTCCCCGTGACCCCACTAGGAGCTGAAGCTGAGCCCCAGGGACAGGCCCAAGGGACACAGGGCCTGGGCCACATGAGAGGCAGGATCTTGTCAGTGTCCTCATCGTAGCATGTGTGTGGCCTTGAGGTTTATAGACTGCGTTTTTGTTCTTGTTTTGAGGCAGGGTCTTGCTATGTAGTCCAGGCCAGCCTTGAACTCAGTGACCCTCCTGCCTCAGCCTCCCGAGTGCTGGGAGTCCAAAAAGAAAGGCTGAGGGGAGGACTGGCCACCTCATTCCCAGGTCAGACCGGAAGGAAGAAGCACCCCGGGACCCTCCTCACCGCCGAGTTGAACCTCAGGTGACAGATGTTACAGGAAATGAACAGCTTCTTCTTCGGCGGGGTGGGGACCCCAAACGTGTGGCTGATGACAGCTTTCTGCACCGGGTCCATCTGTGAGGGGAGCAGAGGGCCACATCCCGGGTTGGCTCAGGAAGGGGACAAAAACTAAAGCCGCCGGAAGAGCGTCCCTTCCTGCCGCCCAGCCGGTCAGCCTGGTTCTCCTTGGAGGTCGGGAGGGACAGAGCAGACAGAACCAGGCCCCAGGTCTCCTTGGCATCTCATGCTGCCCTGCTGGCCTGGGCTCTGTTTTTTTTTTTCCTTTTTATTTCTGTTTGTTTTTTGTATTTTGGTCTCCATTTGTAGTTCAGGGTGCCCTTGAACTCACTACGTGGCCCAGGCCGGCCCCGAACTCAAGGAGATTCTCCTGCCTCAGTCTCCCGAGTCCTGGGATGACAGGAGTGCACCACCACACCACACCCGGCTAGACAGGTCCCATCTTGTCAGCACTGCCGACCTCTCTGGTGACAGCCAGGGTCCAGGCCTGAGGCTCCCTGAGTGCATTGTGGACTTGGAATATTACCTTGGTGTCTTCCATCTTTTCCTTATTTTAGTATTTTTTTACTCCCTGTCCTCAGGGGCCTGGGCTGTCTGGTTTGTCCAGAGGAACTTTCCGAGTACCCCATGGGAAGAGGACAGAGACTTCGGGATGGGGCTGGGGACAGCAAGAGGGTCTGGTGGGCAGGGCGTGCGAGGAAGTGTCCACAGTGAGGACACCACGCATTTTTCCCCCCTTGAGGGACCACTCCCTTGGACAGCGAGCGTGGGCCCATGACGGCAGGCCCGGGGTCAGAGGCCCATCCGAGTCCCCATGTGTCCACATGTCCCAGACCCCCGACACCCTGGAGGGCAGGGCAGGGGACCCCACCAGGTGACTGAGCTGGAATCTGACTTTATCTCTCTAGCTGCGTGGATGGTTCTTTCTGCTCATGGGTAACTTAACATCCACAGCAGAAACCCCCGTGCACACATACACACCTTCAGGCTGGAGCGACACGGCATGAGTTCACACACTTGTTGACAAGCAGAGGCTGGCAGACACACAACCGCAAGCAACACACACTCCAAGCTCAGTCACACACCAAGCGCACACAGAAGGCACAGACACACGAAACCCCCAGATAAGCTGGCGTGGTGGTGCACGCCTGTTGAAACAGCACTCGGGAGGCTGAGGCAGGAGGATCACCACGAGTCTAAGGCCAGCCTGGGCTACAGTGAGTTCGAGGCAGCCTGAACTGCACATCAAGAACTGAACTCCATCCTGTCTCAACACAAGAGTTAATTACAAACAAGACACCAACACACAAACTCGCACCTACACGTAACACACAAAGACCTGCAGGGGCCCTCACTGGCGGCCACCCACCACAGACACATCTACAGCAACGGGGGGTGGGGGAGTGCTGCGATGCTGTCCCGTTGCCTAGGAGACAGTGGGGCCCAGGGGGCGGAGGAGGGAGGAGGAGGAGGAAGAGGAGGGGGAGGGAGGGGGAGAAAGAGAAGGAGA